CATGGTCTATTTTTAGAAACAGGGAGAGACAACATTCCCACACAAAAGGGGGGTAGGGTTAATTTTTATCATGTCTAGAAGACATGATAAAAATTAACAAAAAGATTTTTTTTTTTTTTTTTTTACATCTTTTTTTTTTCTGAGCTTTGAAAAATTTTTCCCAGTCGGCAACCAAGTGAAAATTCTACAGCCAAGACGATTTGGCTTTTACTTTCACTTTCATCGCTTTTCTATAAAAGTATTCCACGTTTTCTATTCAGAACCGTGCGGGCTATCCAAGGTGCAGCATGCTTTTTCTCTTTCTCTATCTCATCTGGACCTAGGACCACTCTTCTAGAAAGAGCTTCTGTGAACACAAGTTTCTTTCCACTTTTTAATGTCTCACAGAATAGAAATCATTAATACGTTTAGGGGAAAATGTTTCCTGTTTGAAAAGCTAGGGTTTTCGTTTGGATTTCATCAGCAACCGTTTATCAGGTTCTAGCGAAATTGGATGATCCATCCATGGATCAGAATTTCCCATCTGTAATTTGGATGGATCAAGATTTCAACATAGTTTAAGAAAAATCCTTCAATCCTATTTGAAAGGAGATGTCATGATATTGAAAGACATTTTTCCATGACGGACATTGAAAGACATTTTCCCATGACTGACATTGAAAGACATTGAAAGACATTTTTCCATGACGAAATCTCTCTATCCCACAGCTTCTTCTAAAGTGAACTTAAAGAGATTTTTCATACCGGGTTTTCAATTTTCACCTCAAACCATACCGTTGACGACGTGTGAGACACAAACCATGACATAAATTTCAGTTTCTATGACAGCTAACACGCTTGAGCTTTAAAAATGTATAAAAGAAGTTATTTTTAATCCATTTCAGCGATTGAGTGGGCTGGGAAAAAAAAGGCCCTTTCCATGACAGCTAACACGCTTGAGCTTTAAAAATGTATGAAAGAATTTGTTTTTAATCCATTTCAGCGATTGAGTCTGCTGGGAAACATTGGAAACATTTTCTTAGAGCTCAGGGGGAAAAAAGGCTCTTTCCATGAGAACTAACACTCTTGAGGTTTAAAAATGTATGAAAGAATTTCTTTTTTAATTCATTTCAGCTATTGAGTGGGCTGGGAAACATTTTCTTAGAGCTCAGGGAAAAAAAAGGTTCTTTCCATGACAGCTAACACGCTTGAGCTTTAAAAATGTATGAAAGAATTTTTTTTAATCCATTTCAGCGATTGAGTGGGCTGGGAAACATTTTCTTAGAGCTCAGGGAATGTGTGTCTAGGTTGAATGCACAGCACACACGGATGGGAAGTCGAAACTCGAGTGGCTTAAAAAATAAATATACGAAATTTGGTTCATCGAGCTGACTAGGAAAAATTCTCAGAGTTCTGGAAATAATTCTGAGTTCAATCATGGGACATGAGAACAGAAATGTATTACAATCATCATGTCATCATTGTTTTCGAAAGCCAAAAAAATTCCTCATGAAAGAACATCTTTTTTTCGTGGTTGTGGGATGGAGTAGAGATGTTGCATCTTGAACAACCCACACTGATCTGAACAGAAACATGAAATGTTTTTATAGATATAAGAAATGAATTGAAAGTGAAAGTAAAAATGAAATTGTATTGGCTGGAAATATTTCTTGGCTGTTGAATGGGAAAAATATTTCCAAAGCTGAAAAAAAAAAAAAAAAAAAACTCTTTCTTTTTTTCTATTAATTTGATGTCTTCACTTTGTTTACTTTGGAATGGCCCAAAGACTGACTCATCTTTCTAGAGAATGAGTCATGGTCTATTTTTAGAAACAGTGAGACAACATTCCCACACAAAAGGGGGGTAGGGTTAATTTTTATCATGTCTAGAAGACATGATAAAAATTAACAAAAAGTTTTTTTTTTTTTTTTTTTTTTTTTTTTTTTTACATCTCAGATTTTTTTTTCTGAGCTCTGAAAATTTTTTCCCAGTCGGCAACCAAGTGAAAAATTTCCAATCGGCTTTTACTTTCACTTTCAACTCTTTTCTATAAAAGTATTCCACGTTTTCTGTTCAGAACCGTGTGGGCTCTCCATGGTGCAACATGCTTGTTTCTCTCTCTACCTCATCTGCAGCTCTATGACAGCTAACACGCTTGAGCTTTAAAAATGTATGAAAGAAGTTATTTTTAATCCATTTCAGCGATTGAGTGGGCTGGGGAAAAAAAAGGCCCTTTCCATGACAGTTAACACGCTTGAGCTTTAAAAATGTATGAAAGAATTTATTTTTAATCCATTTCAGCGATTGAGTGGACTGGGAAACATTTTCTTAGAGCTCAGGGGAAAAAAAGGCCCTTTCCATGACAGTTAACACGCTTAAGCTTTAAAAATATATGAAAGAATTTATTTTTAATCCATTTCAGCGATTGAGTGGACTGGGAAACATTTTCTTAGAGCTCAGGGGAAAAAAAGGCTCTTTCCATGAGAACTAACACGCTTAAGCTTTAAAAATATATGAAAGAATTTATTTTTAATCCATTTCAGCGATTGAGTGGACTGGGAAACATTTTCTTAGAGCTCAGGGGAAAAAAAGGCTCTTTCCATGAGAACTAACACGCTTAAGCTTTAAAAATGTATGAAAGAATTTATTTTTAATCCATTTCAGCGATTGAGTCTGCTGGGAAACATTTTCTCAGAGCTCAGGGGAAAAAAAGGCTCTTTCCATGACAGCTAACACGCTTGAGCTTTAAAAATGTATGAAAGAATTTATTTTTAATCCATTTCAGCGATTGAGTCTGCTGGGAAACATTTTCTTAGAGCTCAGGGGAAAAAAAGGCTCTTTCCATGACAGCTAACACTCTTGAGGTTTAAAAATGTATGAAAGAATTTATTTTTAATCCATTTCAGCGATTGAGTCTGCTGGGAAACATTTTCTTAGAGCTCAGGGAAAAAAAGGTTCTTTCCATGACACCTAACACTCTTGAGCTTTAAAAATGTATGAAAGAATTTATTTTAATCCATTTCAGGGATTGAGTGGGCTGGGAAACATTTTCTTAGAGCTCAGGGAATGTGTCTCCAGGTTGAATGCACAGCACACACGGATGGGAAGTCGAAACTCGAGTGGCTTAAAAAATAAATATACGAAAGTTGGGTTATCGAGCTGACTAGGAAAAATTTTCAGAGTTCTGGAAATAATTCTGAGTTCAAGCATGGGACATGAGAACCGAAATGTATTACAATCATCATGTCATCATTGTTTTCGAAAGCCAAAAGAACATCTCATGAAAGAACATCTTTTTTTCCTGGTTGTGGGATGGAGTAGAGATGCTGCATCTTGAACAACCCACACTGATCTGAACAGAAAAATGAAATGTTCTTATAGATATAAGAAATGAATTGAAAGTGAAAGTAAAAATGAAATTGTATTGGCTGGAAATATTTCTTGGCTGTTGAATTGGAAAAATATTTCCAGAGCTATTAAAAAAAAAAAAAAAAAAAAAAAAAAAAAAACTCTTCCTTTTTTTTTCTATTAATTTGATGTCTTCACTTTGTTTACTTTGGAATGGAGAAACCCAAAGACTTTTTAAAACATATCCTTTTTAAAAACTTATCTTATAAACTTTAAACTCATCCTTTTTAAAACATATAATTCCTAGAATGAGTCATGGTCTATTTTTAGAAACAGTGAGACAACATTCCCACACAAAAGGGGGGTAGGGTTAATTTTTATCATGTCTAGAAGACATGATAAACATTTTTTTTTTTTTTACTCAGAATTTTTTTTTTCTGAGCTCTGAAAATTTTTTCCCAGTCGGTAACCAATTGAAAAATTTCCAATCGGCTTTTACTTTCACTTTCAACTCTTTTCTATAAAAGCATTCCACGTTTTCTGTTCAGAACCGTGCGGGCTCTCCATGGTGCAACATGCTTTTTCTCTCTCTACCTCATCTGCATCTAGGATGTTTTTCCTTCTTCAAGAAGTGGAATTTTTTGGGAATACCTTACAATTTCACGAGCTAGCTGTTTCTTATATTTCGAGGAGATTTCAATGAAATTGTTTATAGATGTCATCTATTGCAGATGGGGAAAAAGTCTATACTGGATCGCTGGAGACATCTCATCCAGATAGGTCACGTTATATTTTTTCCCACACCTAAATAAACTGGACATGAGCCATCCTTTTGTTTTTTCTCATCCAACAAAGATAGACACTGCAGACCGTTTTGGGTTTTGTTTTCACTCTTCGCGAACCGAGACGAGCCGCAGCCACACTTTGCGTTTTCTATGAGCGCAATAATGGATTACGTGAGCAGCCATTTTGTTTCCCATCTCACCTAGATAGGTCATGTTGTATTTTGTTTCATGCACCTAGCCAATTTTGGACATGAGCCATCCTTTTTTTTTTTTTTTTTTTTTTTTTGTCTATCGAACCAAGATAGACTCTGGAGACAATAATTTGTTTCTCAACGGAAAAGTAAATTTTCTGAATGGGTACCGGTGTTCGAATTCTTTTGTGGCCGACTGTACATACGTCACCCAAAAAAATAATTCACATGGATTCCGTAATCGTCAAAATCGGATATTTCCGTTAAAATATGATACCCAAAGTTTTCTCGATTACAATAATTACTACCATTTTATTTGATACAAGGAAGTAAAGAACCTATATTAACCTACATATTCTTATATAAACAATACCTAAGTGCAGTATATAAATATTTCAAATCAATAAAATCTCACTATGGCACGTTCAAGAAAAAAAATAAATAAATAATCATCTAAATTTTCAAATTACAAACATATATAGCAATAGTAAAAAGCAAATACAAAATAACGCTTCCCGCTATTAAAATTGCTCATCTTCTTAAATATCAACAACTAAACTAAATAGTATTTCAACTAAAACACATAATGTAAACAAGAATTTGCCCGATGCCCAAAAAAATTCAAAATTATCTATGAAAAATATGAGCACATTGTAACGCAACCGTATCATTCGCATTGGCATAGAAACCGCATCATTCGTATTCGCATAGAAATCGCATCATTCGTATTCGTATAGCAACCGCATCGTTCGTACTCGAACAAACCGCATCGTACGACAGATGCGAGTAACGAAATGAATTTGTGAGTACCGAATCGGTACTTCGAGTCAACCGATGTACCCGTTACTCAGTAACGAATACATGCGGTTTGCTCCAGCTCTAAAATAAATAGATAATAGCGGATGATTGTTGGGTGTTTTAAAATAGCAAACATTTGTAAAGATGTTGGAGTCTGTATATTATTATGAAAAATTAATCTTTTAATACAGAACTTATATTCTGTGACCCCTAGTCTGTTTTGTTTGGAGAAAATTTTATTTTTTTAATGGTATTGTAATTTAGTAAACTGCAGTTTCAATTTTTTATGCTCATATAATAAAACTAAAAAGCTGTACATATTGCAGAAAATAACTTTTATAATTTTTATTTTTATTCAAATTTCTTTATTAAGCGTATAACATTCACAAAATTTTCGTACATTTTTAATTTTATTAAAATTTTGCTTTAAAAAGCTGCCTTTACAATGGTTGGTTTATTTATTATGTAGATTTTATGGCACTAAAAATGTCTGATCTTGATGAAGAAATCTCAAAATTAGCTTCAAATGACTCTATCTATGGAATACTATCAAACTTCGAAATTGATAAAAAGATCGGTAAAGGCCAGTTTAGTGTGGTTTACCGAGCCAAATGCAAACTGGATGGTAAATTAGTTGCATTGAAGAAAGTTCAAGTAAGTATACTATTTTAACCACCATCTGTATGCTTTATATGAAATAAACATTTTAAAAAATGATCAATATTATATTTTTGTATATGTATGTGTATATAAATGCATACTGTTAGTGATAAAAGTTGACATACGTAATGCTTGTGTATGGGCATTTGTGTCTAATGGCAAAAATTCAGTAGCCAGTGTCATTGTGCCGCAGGGTGCACACAACATTAGGTTTTCCTTGAGCCCACAAATGCTGATTATGGTGATTGAATATGCCATCCCTATTGAATGTGGCCTCATCTGTGAACAACGCATAAGCTGGTAAATTAACATCACAGGCACTTTCTTGCAGAAACCACTGTGCGAAACGCACATGTTTAAGATGGTCATGAACTGAACCCTTTGGAGACGAAAGGCATGGAATGACTCGGTATTCAAGACACACTAGGCACTAGTACGAGACATTCTTAATTGAGAAGCAATGGCACGTATGCTGGTCCTTGGATTACTGTCCACATTATCCAACACACTTTCTTCCCTAATGACCGAGCGAATCGATCGTGGCCTGCCCTCATTTGCCCTGCCACTTCTTAATAGCCTGCAGATATGCAAACAAACTGTGGTGTGGTTGATGTCGGTTGAGAAAGCACTCTCGATAGGTACATAAAGCGGCTCGTCCATTACCCTCAGCTATCCCATACACTAAGTGCATTTCTGCAAGCTCTCCATTTGTATAGCATTCCATGTTCTTCCTATGATGCCTACAGCTCAAATGAGGCAATACTCACTTTCCACTAGCACTCTCCTGTTCAGCACCCCCTGGCAGCATACAGTAACATTTCTAGGCAATTCTTAATCCTTTGATGTGCCCTACCTCTCCCAGAGGCTTGTAGCAACATTTATGGGGCATCCTGTATATTATACTAGTGGAAGTTCCCAATGCCAGTTAAGTTAGATTGAGAGTAATGTATTATTTTACTCATGACATCATTTGAAAATTCGTAGAATAGCATATTACATGCCGTAAGGAATATTATGTCATTGTAATGCATAAACAGGGTTCGTAGCGGTCCTTACAAGTGCTTATAAGTCCTTCTATTTGGAAATAAAATATAAGAGCCCTTATAGGTGCATACTTTTTCTCTAAAGCACTAATTTTTTTTTTTTTTTTTTTTTTTTTTTTTGTTTGTTTTTAGTACTTATTTTTTGCTTTTAGTGCTTTTTTTTAAACGAACGAATATTTTTTCCCTGTACCAAAGCTGAAACTAAATAAACAACTTTCTTCCTTATGTGGATTGTCAGATGGTGACTCATACTCCCAGAAATAGCTTTTCACCCCTTTCGCTGCATTAACCCTCTGGCTGCTCATTCCGCGACTCAAATGTAGCAAAATCTGCTCATCCCGTGATTTCCGCTGGCAGGTGTTTTCTTCCTTTATTGAGGAGCACATCCCGTTTTTTCCTCGTTTAACCATTGAAATAAATTATATACAGTATTAGACATTTAGTTTACGTTTGCCCTAGCAGATATCATTAGCTGTCCAATAAATTGCGGCATTTGAAGACACGTGGTATTGCCGCTCAAACATCACTTTTTGCTGCTTTTTCTTACAGAAATGGCTGCTAGTTAAATTATTGAATTATTCATTAGATTTATTGATTAGATTAATAATTAGATTTATTAAATCTGGTTCAAAGACTGTGAAGTTGGACTTTGCTTTGAACCCTGTTTTGAACTCTGCCACACTGTACTGCATTTCTAAGGTATTTTTTCCTCAGAGCTTTATATTTTCTTAAATTTTATACTTTTTACTTTTTTATACACTGACTACCAATAAGTATTTGGACACCTGTGATAGAAAAGAAAAACTAACTTTATTCAAAATCAATAGTTGGTAGAGCCTCCATGAGAGGTAATTACAGCGTGGACACTCCGGGGCATACTTTCCACAAGTCTTTGTATGACAGCTAGTGTTATTTTCTTCCACTCGGCTTGGAGAAGACATAGAAATTCTTTCACCGATTTTGCACGGGTAGTGCACCCCTGAATTCCGCGATGCAACTCGTCCCAGAGGTTCTCGATAAGGTTCAGGTCTGAACTCTGGGCTGGCCAGTCCATTCGATGAACTACATTGGCACCATACCAAGCCTTGGTTAACGTCGAAACATGACAAATGGCATTGTCGTCCTGAAAGTAACAGGGGTTCAACCCGTAAAACTGCCACAACGTAGGAAGCACATTGTCATCCAAAATAGTGCAGTAGGCATCGGAGTTGAGCTTACCATGAATGGGGACCAAGGGTCCCAGCCCATTCCAGGAGAAACACCCCCAGACCATAATTCCACCTCCTCCAAGCTTGACTGTTGGCACAATGCATTCTGGCAGGAGACGTTCTCCAGGTAGACGCCAGACTCAGACCCTGCCATCCAAACGGTAAAGGTGAACCTTGATTTGTCACTCCAAAGAACCCGTTTCCACTGATCTACGGTCCAATTTCAATGTGCTTTGCACCACATTAACCGAGCAGCACGGTTGGACTTTGTGATCAAAGGCTTATGGGCAGCAGCACGACCATGAAAACCAAGCAGATATGCTTCCTTACGGATGGTATTCATTGAAACAATACTCCCGGATGCCTGTTGAAAATCCTCGCGGATGAGGGCCATCGGTTGGGTGCGGTTCTTCCGAATTTCTCTGAACAGCACTCGTCGGTCTCTATCCCCCAGTTTCGTTGGTCTGCCGAGTCGGGGCACATTCCGACAATCACCGCTCACCTTCCACTTCTTAATCACATAGGCCACTGTCGATATTGGGTACTTCAGATCGCTAGATATGTCCCTTAAGGATCGGAAACATTTGTGATACCCGATAATTATACCTTTCTCGAAATCAGAGAGCTCCGAACTGCGAGGCATCTTGCATGCGACTAAAGCCGATGCTGTTTCCTATCCGATATATACCGGCGGAGTCCGTGATGTACCTTAGGACCGCAGATATCGTCATTTGCATAGGTGTCCAAATACTTATTGGTAGTCAGTGTATTATGCAATAAATCGAAATTAACTGTAATTCGACTGAAATTTATTTAAAAAAAATTTTTTTTTTGGTGTTAACATCTGAAATTGTTTTTTCTGGCAACTTAGTTTCTCGTGATAAAAATCTATACAAAAATATTTTCTAGAAAGAAAATGTGCATTTTTCAATTCTCCAATATATGTAGACTTAAAATATGAAAAAATTTAAAAAAAAAATAAATTTAAAATAAAATAAAATATAAATAAATTAATATAGTAGCGAAAGTTTATCCACTGCAAATATGTTGAAACAGTGTAAGACAGTTAATAATATTTGTCAATGATTTGATTTGAAAAAGAGTATTTTGAACCTGTGTTGTAATTCGTAGATTGTGGCTGATCTTTGGAATATGGTAACTGGTAGTTTGGCGACATTTTGGAGGCGATAAAGGTTACTACCTAGGACTTTGGTAATAATGTGAGAAGTACTCAGTTCCGATTACGCATTATTTTGTGTGAGGGAAATGAGAGATCATGAGATATGTCATGTGACATTAATGGACGAATTACAGGTTCTTTAATCGGAAAAGGGGGGGAATTTGGAAAAACTGTAGTACTATATTATTTTGTATTAAGCTTCATTGTGTGTGTTGTGTGAAACAGTGGAAGTGTTGCGTGCCATGTAATGAAGATTCTGAAGATTAGGTAAGTTAGTATTTTAATCATTTGAGGATATTATTTTTATGCATTGTTCTAAATGTAAGGAGTAAATAAATTAATATGGTTTTATTGGAAAATTGTTATTAGCAATGATGTTTAAAGTAATTAGGATTGTAATCTAATTTTTATTAATTAAATGTGCTTATTTATATTTTTAGTTTTTTTTTTAATTTAATTTTTAATTTTGATCGTGATTTGTGACGTTGAGTATTTTCATGCATTTTCGTGAAATTTTTCTAATTTATGAGAAAAAAGCAGTGTACATGGATATAGTGAAGAGTGTGCGCAATGCCATTTTTGTGCAATTCTGGGATGTTTTTTTAAGTAAAAATAAGTCGACGTGTACATGGTTTAGTGATATTTTAATTAAATGATAGTTATTTTGTGAATTTTATGTTTGTAGGAATTTGGTATACGTTTTAGTTGAAGTAAACGTGCATGGAAATATTTAATTAAATATTTGACACTAAGTATTTGTAATTTGTAATGTTTGCGGTATGAATTCGTTGGTGACGTTTATAATATAATAGATGATTTAGAGGTAAAAGTTTTTGGATATTTTATTTATTTTATATGTGGAAATGTTCATATTTGGAAAGGGTATATACTTTTTCGCGATCAGGTAATTTCATATATGTTCTTTTTACCGGGTTTAAAGATTCAGAAAATTGTCATGTATTTTCGTGAAATTTTTCTAATTTATGAGAAAAAAGCAGTGTACATGGATATAGTGAAGAGTGTGCGCAATGCCATTTTTTGGTAAAAAAATAAGTCGACGTGTACATGGTTTAGTGATATTTTAATTAAATGATAGTTATTTTGTGAATTTTATGTTTGTAGGAATTTGGTATACGTTTAGTTGAAGTAAACGTGCATGGAAATAATTTAAATATTTGACACTAAGTATTTGTAATGTAATGTTTGCGGTATGAATTCGTTGGTGACGTTTATAATATAATAGATGATTTAGAGGTAAAAGTTTTTGGATATTTTATTTATTTTATATGTGGAAATGTTCATATTTGGAAAGGGTATATACTTTTTCGCGATCAGGTAATTTCATATATGTTCTTTTTACCGGGTTTAAAGATTCAGAAAATTGTTTGTATTTTCGTGAAATTTTTCTAATTTATGAGAAAAAGCAGTGTACATGGATATAGTGAAGAGTGTGCGCAATGCCATTTTTGTGCAATTCTGGGATGTTTTTTTAAGTAAAAATAAGTCGACGTGTACATGGTTTATGTGTATGTGTTATTTTGAAAAACGCGTAAGGAGTATGGTATTGTGCACTTTTTCCCAATTTTGCAGTGAATATTTGTCATGATTAAGCAGTTTTGTTAGATAAAATTTCTAGCATAAGTGTAATTCGGCTAGTAGATTGTTGGAAGAAAGTGTTCAGTAGATAAAAAGAAAAAGAAACATGTCTTTACTTCGTGAAGACAAAATGGCGGCGGAAAAAAAAAATAGAGGGTTGCTGTAGGAGAGTTGGTCGCCAAATTTTCGCCAAAAAAACGCCAAGTTACATAATGTAAAGATCAACCATTTTATTAGACAATACAAATGAGCATCTTTAACAGATAGAGAAAGATTCATATCATTAATGACTCATCACGTCGGAAAAGTCAGAGATGTCACCAAATCATGTACAGTCAAAAGTCTTTAATCCAGACGTCCATAATCCGGAATGATCAATAATCCGGACCTCAAAGCTATAAACTTTCTGCGCATGCGCATATACGTTTACTCATGTGCGTTTAATGTAGAACAGACGGTATAAGCTAAGCTAATATTATCTAATTATCTATTTGTTGTTTATCTACTGTTGTATCATAGGACACTCTGAAGGTTTAGTACCAAAAATTCAAAAACGAGGATGTTTGAGAAATATAGTGCTCTAGCCGGTCTACTGATGTTGATGAGGCCCACCAGTGAGAACATTTTGCGGAAGATCAGTATGCAACCACTCGAGAGCTTGCTAAGGAATTAGACACTTGTACCATGTCCATTAGTTGCACTATGCATCGCATAAACTTGACATACAAGTTCAATCGTTGGGTGTCGCATGAGCTGATTCAGGCAGATAAGGACAGACGTGTTTGAGCCTACAATAATCTGCTTGAATATCAGCACAAGGACAAAATTTTCAACCGCATTGTCACTTGTGATGAAAGTGGATTTACTTCAACAATGCAGTCCGAAAAGGGGGTTGGTCTGTGCCCATCTGCAGTGCCGCATTTTGTGGAATTTGGCTAATAAAAAGATTATGCTTTTTATTTGGTAGTATTGTCATGGTATTATCCACGAAGATTATATAGAAAAGGGTAAAACCCATATCAGTGAGCTGTACAATGAGATGCTAGTCCATGTTGACGCTGCTATCATGGAAAAACATCGAAATAAGTTCCGGCACAAAAAGGTAATTTTCCATCAATATAATACAAGACCACATGTTGTCTGCATTCGCTGGCTGGACTCTGTATGCACTCGAATGGGATCTTTTGCCACACCCACTATATAGCCCCGAAATCATTCCTTTGGAATTCTACCTTTTTTCACACCTGGAGCTACAGCTTGCTTGTGCTATCTTTCATTCTGCACAGGACATCAGAAATGAGATTGATCTGTTTTTGGACTCACTGTCACCAAATTTCTGGGCCAAAGACTTTGAAAAACTTCCAAAACATTGGCAGAAAATATAGATTTGGGTGCTGATTACTAGCCACACTAAAGGTACTGCTTTCAATTTTTTCTCTAACTTTATTGAGAATGTTTTTGGCAGAGAACTGTTGTTACAAACAGTGCCAGATTTAGACTTTATAATGCCCTAAGCTATTTGAGTATGGAGCCCTTTATAAGTCTGTTATAGTATATTTTAATACTATTTATACTATATTTTAATTTTTTCGGGTGTCCTAAGCTATAGCTTATGTAGCTTATACATAAAGCTGGCCCTGGTTACAACGAGATACATTCCAACGTAATGAAAATAAGATAGCCAACTCTACATTTTTATTACAATTCGTTATGACCAAAACAAATGGCTATTCAATTTCAAAAATGCAAATTCCACACGTGTTGTGGAATTCTATGTTTATGTACTCAAATTTGTGTGTTATGCACATAACTTGATCATTAATTCATTCACTCAATATTTCATTTCATAAAATTCAGCATTTATGTTATTTCTAGCTGTACTAAATATCCTGATAAGTTGTGCCATAGACATCTCTTTACCGTACTAAATGTAACAGTTTTGTACTGTAGCACTAGTTTTGTACTTCCATTTTTTGCAGCAATTCCACTTTTTGTTTAATGGACTTCGAAACATACTTTCGCTTTGTAGATCCTTTACATATTAATAAATATATATCAGAAATTCTATTTGACATAATCGAAAGTTCAAGCTTACTTTTATAAAATTGCTCTAACAGTCTGCAAAAAAATAATAAGCCGGATCCAATTCGAAGATTAAGGAACAACGCAATCTGCAATATTAACTGAATTAGATAATTTTAGCTTAGCTTATACCGTCCATTATACATTAAACGCACATTCGTAAACGTATTTTGCGCACGTGCACACGCATATTCACAGCCGTATTGACGCATCCGCAGAAAGTTTGTAGCTTTGAGGTCCGAATTAACGACTTTTGACTGTAATTGTAATCAATTCCTTGTTTTATCTCATTGCTCATGTCAAATTTAATTATAAAAGAATGCTTTTTCTAGTGTATGAATTTATTGACCCAAAATCCATTTCCTTTGCTAGTAAATGAATAGTCAGTCAGATTTATCGTTCTTTTTGTTTATTCGCTTATTTATGGTATTTATATGTATGTGTATAATATAATATTAAATTTATACTTTTTCTTGTTTTCTTTTATTTAGATTTCTGAGATGATGGATTCAAAAGCAAGATTGGATTGCATGAAGGAAATTAACTTACTTCAAGTAATTAAGAATTAGTGGAATATTTATTTTTTTGATTTTTTTTAAATAAATTAATGATTGCTGCTTTTCAATTGGTTATCTCAAGTATTTATTTAAATATTTGTTATAGGAACGCTTATTGGTATAATATAGTAATATCCTAATTTTTTTTTTTTTCTGCCAGCAACTTAATCATCCTAATGTCATAAAATATTTAGCTTCCTTTATTGATGACAATGAATTATATATAGTTTTGGATCTGGCTGATGCAGGTGATTTATCAAGAATGATAAAGGTAATTTTGATCTAACAATATTTGTTTATAGTAATACCTAGGCAAACTCTTAACTTAAGATTAACATTTTGTACTATTCTATCAGATAAAAATTATCCTTTTTATGATTTTTAACATGTGTTATTTTCTCATTAACTAAAAAGCAAGTATTTTGTGTAAATTAAACATTTTAGAAATATTGTGAATATTGTTCTTCAGAAATATTTTTATTTTCGCAAATGTGGAACATTAGAAAGGAATTGAGAAACTACAGACATCAAAACAGATGTAATATAGAATAAAAGTTGTTTTTTCTGCTCACTGAATGTGAGGAATCGGGTATTACTGATATCAGACAGCTAATACGTAATAATATTTTTTATTCCATCACTTTTTGAGCATATGTTTTTATATTTTTTAACCTAACAAATATATCACTGCAAGTGGTTGCCTTTCTAAAGGAAAATAAAATTATCTCCCTATACATTTCATGTTAAAAATAGGAAAAAATAAAGTGAAGAGGATTAAGTGAATATCTCATTGTACCTGTAGTATAGATCTGGAACCATTTCATTTTACTACTTTTGTCAGCAGTGTATACTTAGATGGCTCCAAAAAAATAAAATCAGTATTTCCAAAATTTTTACGTCTAAACCCAAGAAATGAATTAGAGTTACACTAGGAACATTTAACAAATAGCATTCAAAATCATAAAATATGTTAAATTTTCCTTTATTGTCAAAATATGATTATTCATATTTATTGTTTCTGTGACCATTTCAGAAAACTTTAATAAAAACAAAATGATTTTTCATTCATCTTAGTATTATGTTGCTTATGATTTTGTAGACATTATTGACTCATGCAAACCCTGAATGTTATAGAGTCACAGATATTTTTCAAAATATACTGTCAGTGGAGTCCACTTGTTGTCAAGTGGTTTATGTGCAGGATTCCAATACTTGTATCCTTGATTCTCTTTTGTTTCCTCTAGAATGTTCTTCACAAAAGCAATGCTCTATTATTAGGTAGAGGATAATGTGTGGGGTCTAGAAACTGCTATTGCAACAGGCTTCATATTCCAACAAGCCCTAAAAAATTTCCTGAAATCAAAGAAAAGCAGTGTGAAAATTAGTAAATGTACTCTATATCTCTAAGTTCCCCCCCCCTAAAAAAATATTCGAGTAAAGTGAGTCACTTTGTACATTTACCACTATTTCTAAATAAATCATCTGTTAATACTTTGCCATAAGGCAGAGCTTTAGTTTTCTTGTTGTCCATATTGGAACAAAATCAGTTTGTTATGATTCGACAAAATTCATTATTTGCCTTTAGTATGTAAACAAGAAATTGGAAAAACGAGAATACACACCAGTTTGGTTGATCATCAAGTAGGTAAAGAAATTTCTTGTTGATAGAATTCAGTTCCATATTTGACCTTTCAGCTTCAGTTTATCATCTGCAGAACTTAAGCAAAATTTAAAATATTAATTCTTGGATTACTTTATTAAAGTTGTAGAGTCCTGTGAATGAACTTCTGTCTGTATACTGGAGTAACAGGAAACTACGCAGGGGAAGGGTTAAGGTACCCTTTATTAACTCTTTAAAATTTACAATGCATCAGCCCAATGCTAACAAACTTTGCCTTTGCTTGGTCAGTAACTGAAAATCATGTAATTAAACTAAAATTTGAAGATATTAACAAACAATAGACCTAGACTACAGGGCTCAGCGAGATCCCGTAACTTAAACCCCATTTGAAGCTTTTGGCAGCAGTTAAATGCAATTAAGCCATTTGAACCAGCTATAAGCAAATGTACCTATAGCAGAGATGGTGGTTAGAGCCTAACTCTCCCTTTCTTCTACCAAAACTCAGCTTTTAACTACCTCCTTCAAAGTAGAAAAATTTGCATTTCCTTCAGCACGCTACAACATTTAATTATTCTGGAACTGACAATTAGGGGAATGAAGGCTTTCGGGAAAGGTCTAAACTCAATATTTAAATTGTTAGTTAAAATAAATATAAATCCCTACAAAGGGATCATATGAGTGAAATTGCATATTTTTGCACTTTATCAATTTACTGCTATGTGTTGGGTTTCAGTAATTATTGATAAGGAAGAAATTGTGAAATTGAAAAAGAGAGATAGTAGAATAGTCACTTATGTGTGTTATTTATGTTGTCATAAATTAATAAATTCTAAATAATATGTAATTGCTGCAAAATGTAACTAGCTGTCTTAAAAATCACTGATCAAGACACTGATGAACTTCAGATATCAGGGTTATAAAATGCTTTACATTATTTGTACTTTTCCTTTTCCTTAAACTATGACTAAGTTAAAAACAAAAAATAGCAAGCAATGGAAAGGGAACCAATGACTGAAATTTGTGTATTTTTTGGTTAATGAAATCTGCAGATTTCAGCATTATTTCCTTTGCATGAATTATAGATAAACTATAAAGTCATAATATTTCCTTTGATTTAGAATTTTGCAAGCAATATTAACAGAAATACTATATTTTTATATATTTTATTCATGTATAAATTTTTACATTAACCAAAACTTAATCTTTTTTGGATAATGTAGATGATGAAGTCTTTTCTTTTCATTTTTCCCTTTAGTATTTCAAGAAGCAGCAGCGTTTAATACCAGAAAAAACAATATGGAAGTATTTTGTTCAAGTATGTGGAGCTTTAGAGCATATGCATTCAAAGCGAGTAATGCATAGAGGTATATTAAAGTATATGTATTATAATCATAATTGGTAATTGAAACATTAATCAGTTATTATAATGTAAAAAATTTGCTCTCAGGCTAAACGCTTTTAATTCAGTGCTCTATGTAAATTCTTGTCATTTTTATTACTTTCTTATTAGGCGATGCTCACAGATACATCATCAATAATATAACCCATAACTTTGCATTCTTAAAAGCATTATGATCCGATCTAGCTGTTGCAAGTTTTTCTAATTAAAGGCAAATTTTGTTTGTTTGTTTGCTTCCCCTTTCCTCATCTTAGACAGTAGAGATGGCATTTATGTCTAATAAATGTCTGCATTGCAGTTTTACAAGAGTGGGGGATAATTCTTATCTCATAGAAAGTTCTCAGAACAATGTTTGTTTAACTCATGTTAATTGCTAATTTTTACTGTGTTCTTCATCAAGCATGTATGCAGATTTTCTGAAAAAGGAAATAGAAGTACAGTCAAAAGTCTTTAATCCGGACGTCCATAATCCGGAATGATCTATAATCCGGACCTCAAAGCTACAAAATTTCTGCGCATACATAAACATATAATGCGTTTACGCATGCGTATAATACCTTTACACATGCGCATTTAATGTATAACAGACGGTATAAGCTACGCTAAAATTATCTAATTATCTAGTTCAGGTAATGTTGCAGATTGCGTTGATCCTTAATCTTCTAATTGAATCCGGCTTATTATTTTTTGCAGACTGTTAGAGCAATTTTATAAAAGTAAGCTTGAACTTTCGATTATGTCAAAAAGAATTTCCGATTCTGGAGCTGCCAAAGGATCTACAAAGCAAAAGCATGTTTCGATGTCCATCAAACAAAAAGTAGAATTGCTGAAAAAAATGGATAAAAGCATATCCTTTGTTTCTCTAATCATTCCAAAGTCTGTTTATCAGTTTCACACTGCTCTGCGGGGGGGGGGGGGAGACGTCGTGGCGTGCAATGAACTGGAAGTTGATCTGTCAGCACTATCCTTATCTTCAGGGCAGATGTTTTTATTTTATTCAGCTTATAATTCCTTACTAAACGTACTATTTCATCTTGATGTACACCGTCTTTGATATGATTTAAATCAAATTTCTCATCATTATGAATATCACGAATACACATTAAATAATTTTCTAGTTGCAATTTTCTAATTTCAACTATGCGTAATGTATGCTTTACACATGTGCGCATTAAAAGAAATGTTTAATAAAGTAAACAAATAAATATTAAGTTTTTTTTTTTTTTTGGTAAATTTTTTTACCCTTTAGATCACAATTGCTCTTTATTCCATAAATTATGTACACCATTAAAACACAGTTTTTAAAATGCCTTGGGAATTAAAGGTCTTGCTATGTCAGTAGATATGTCACAATATAATTCTACTTCTGAATTTGGGAGCTTAACTTTTTTCATTTGCAAAGAAGTGTTAGTGTTAAGTATTTTTTTTTTAACTCGTCATTTCTTGATTGTGCTTGAGCAATTTCTTTATTGTCAATGGGACCAATAATTTTAATTTTGTGCATGCGAGATAATGTGTCAGCAATAATATTATCAGCTTTTTTTAATGTACTGAATATTAGTTGTGAATTGAGAAATAAAATTTAGTTGACGAGTTTGAGGTGGAGAGCATTTTTCCAGGTTTTGTTTGAAAACAAATACTAATGGTTTGTGGTCAGTAAATACTGTAAACTAATGTCCGTCTAGCATGTATCTAAATTTGCGAATGGATGAGTATATTGCTAATAATTCTCTATCATAGGCACTGTATTTTGCCTCAGTGGTCGTGAGCTTTCTAGAGAAAAAGGCTAGGGGTTCAAGTCCTTGTTTAGTAACTTAAGAGATCCACCAATTGCGTAGTCAGATGCGTCGACTTAAGAATGGTAGATGCATTTGGTGAAGGATGTGCTAATAATGTAGCATTTGCTAATTGTTTAGCATTTTCAAAAGCTTCACTTGTTTGCAATGACCAAGGAATTTTGCCTTTGTCATTCTTTTTTTTAACCTTTTAAATATTCACTGAGTAGTGATTGATTATGTGCTGCATGTGGCAGGTACCTATGGTAAAAATTTGGTAAGCATAAAAACTTCCTTAAGTCTTTAACATTTTCTGGTTTCTTGAAGTTCAGGATTGCATTCACCTGTTCGGATAAAGGTTTAGTGCCTATTAAACAGCCTAAGAATTATATTTCAGGAACCCTCAAAAAGTTTATATTCATTTAGTTTGTGTAAAACTTTGGAAATGTGTTGTTTATGAAGTGTTTCATTTTCTGAGAATACTAGAATGTCATCTAAGTATGTGTAACAAAAATCTAGTCTTCGTAACACTTTGTGCATGAAACACAAAAACATTTGAACAGCATTTTTTAGTCCAAAATTTAAATAAGAAACTCAAGGATTGCATTCACCTGTTCTGGTAAAGGTTTAGTGCCATCCTTGATTATTAAATGGCCTAGGAATTCTATTTCAGGAATCCTGAAAACACATTTTGAAGTATTTAATTTAAGTCCATATTCATTTAGCTTGTGAAAAACTTTGGAAATGTGTTGTTTATGAAGTGTTTCGTTTTCTGAGAGTATTAGAATGTCATCTAAGTATGTGTAACAAAAATCTGGTCCACTTAACACTTTATGCATGAAATAACGCTGGAATGCTTGAGTGGCATTTTTTAGTCCAAAATTTAAATAAGGATTCAAAAAGACCAAAAAGGGTAATTACCACTGTTTTAGGTATGTGCTTTTCATAGATGGGTATATAATGATAAGCCCTTGCAATGTCTAATTTAGAAAATACTGTTCTGCCATGAAGAGATTGAGTGAAATCTTGTAGATGTAGAATAGGATATGTATCAAAAACCATAACTGAATTAACTGAATTAAGTGCTCTGTAATCTACAACTGGTCTAATGCCAGTAGGCTTTTTATGTACTACGTGTAGAGATGATGACCAGTTACTCTTAGAGGGTTGTCAAATTCCTTGTTCTATCATAAATTCAAACTTTTTTTTTTTTTCTGTGATAAACTTCAGGTCAGAGCCATCTTGCTTTGGAGTTGACTGGTTGTCCTTTAGTTTCAATATAATGAACTGTGTCATGTTTGATTGCTTTGCTGTGAATTGAAGGATTAGTTAGTTCGAGAAATTGTCTAAGAATTTGGTAATATTGAGAGCATTCGGAAACAGTCTTAACATTCACCTGAGTGTTGTGCTCTAATTTGCCACTTGTAGTGAGAGGTGTTAATGTATCTATAATTCTTCTCTTTTTTTTTTTTTTTTTTTCTTTTCTTTCCGACTGGTAATCCAAAATGGGTGAGAAAATCAGCACCAGTTATGAGAATGGAAATATCAGCTGTTATGAAATCTCATTTAAAAGTTCGGCTGAGATCAAAAGTTAGTTGCTTTAATGCCGTATATTTTAGTTTTAGTATTATTTGCGGAAAATAGCTGTAGAGTAGTAGCAGTGATATGCTTTCCTTTTGATACCGGAAGGCAGGAAATCTCATTACTTGTATCAACAAGAAACTTCATATTAGTATGCCTGTCATATATGTCTAATATGTTGGAATTGTTTGCTGCTATTCCAGTATCCATGAATTCTTTCGAAATAGCAGCGGAATTTAGTTTTTCGCCTGAAACGAGAATGGAGAAATATATTTATGAGCATCAGCTTTAAACTTCTAGTGATAATAACAATAACTAATTGCATGCAAATTACGTTGCCTACTGTTTGAACGATTGTGGTTATTGCAGTAATTTGGATTTTTATTATATTGTTTTCGAGACAATTGTTCAACTTGCTTAGTGAGAGTCTCTATTTGTTTGGCCATTAAGCTTAGTGATTTTTGTTCAATATTTGACGCTGCACAAACAATGAGTTGTGCATTATTTGTGATTTCTGACACCTCATCTGCTATCTGGGATGGACAATTTAAATCTGCATGGAAAGCAGATAAAATTGCTTGGATATTGGAAGGAAGTCTTTGTATCCACAGATTTTTTAGGAAGTCATCAAGTATTTTGTTTGAAATTATCTCTCTCATTTGTTTCAAAAGAAAACTAGGTTTTTTTGGGCACCTAATTGTAATTCTGATAAAAGTTTATTGATTTGCTGTACTTCAGACTCTTGGAACTAGTCTTTTTTTTTTTTTTTTTTTTTTATTATTAGATATTTGTTAGTTTAAGGAGGTGTTAAGATTAAATCTGAGACATGTGGTAAAGTTGATGTGTCTAAATTTGCTACAATATGCGAAAATTCTGTGTTATCATTGGTAATTGCAGCCAGATCAGATTGGATCTCAGATTGTCTTAACCATAAGGCGATATTTGATTTTCAAATGGGAGGTATTTTCATGGCTGTTCTATGAACCTGATCAGTTACAATTTCATGCAGTTCGATCATTTTCCCCAAACAGCATTCACTTCCTCCCCAAAAAAAGGGAAGGAGAATTTCGTCTCAGTCTCGTAGGCAGTAAAAGGTCAGTGGTGTCACCCAATCAGCTGTGTAACTGTGTTATATATAAGCAAATCAAAATAAGTGAAGAAGGGAAATAAACATACCCCATGTTCTTGTTTTCATCCATTCATTTTGGTGAAACAGCAGGCACTTGCGGAAAATATTTTTTAAAGAAGCACAGTTGAATATGAAGCACATGGTAAGCACACACAAATCACTGAATATATGATGCTGTATACAAAATCACTTTACAGTTTTATCACAAACACCAACACAGTTTAAAGTGAGAATTAGATGCTTCTGTCTTAAAGAAAACCTTTAGCAAAGATGGATGCCTTTTTCAGATTTTCTGGTGAAGACGGGAATGGCAGGAAGAATATCGGCGTTGCGATCCGCTCAGGACTGTTGTCGGAGAAATGCTGGATTAAATGCTGGTTTTACGACAACAGTAGCTTGGTATTTCCTTTACTATTCACTGTGTTACATCAGGCTGTATGAGTTGTGTTTCTTAGTATTAAAAGTTTTTATCCCAATATCCATATGGGGCATTTCACTGTGTGTTTGATTTTCTAGGCGACTTCACAATTATGTGAAGATGCAGTTAATGAAGCTTTTCCAAATGTATTGCCATATAGCTGTTGAAAGAGTTCATGATAGTTTATTTCAATAATATAGTTGTCAGTCCTTGGTCACCACTGTGGGATGTCTGGTGGGTTACGCATCTGACTCCCTATAATGAATGGGTGCATTTGTGAGATTGTGTGATACTTACTCCCTTATTGAACTCAAAACATATTTATTACAATTACGATAAGCTCTTTGCAAATATATATGTAATTCATAGATAGCATAGACAGTTATTGAAATAAATTATAGTCCTCATAGTGGGAAGAGCCTGCTAACGAGGGTCTCTAGTTGAGAGCAAGAGCATTCTGGGTCTCTCTAGTCAAGAGTTCAGGAGCCTTCTAGCATGTTGTCACTATAGAAAAAATCTTCAGACGGATTTTGCCACGCCTTCTTAATTTTTCTGTTGTATTTTACATCCTCTGATTCGTTATGTCGTGAAATGATATCAGAGGAAAACAAAATCATTGGTTTTTCAGCCCTCCTAAAATCATGAGGCTTTGAGGATAGACACAGTACAGAACACTAAGATCTCCTGACACTAGTTGTGATTATGTCTCTTGCACTGTCAACTGGAATGAATTATGTCTGTGATGTCAGAAACATATCGTGTGACACATTGTAAAAGCTTGGAAGTATTGTAAAAGCTTCATTAACTGCAGGGATTCTTATCTCTGTGTGGTCTGCAGCAAATGTATGCATGTATACCTCTGTATGTACATGTGTGTACACACACACATGTATTCACTTACATACATGTACACGTGCATGCATACATTTCTGAATCCGGTCCTGATAACAGAAGAGTATTCTTAATCCTTATTACATTAGAGATTTCTTGCAAAACTTTAGACCAGCCATCCTCAAACATTATTAAGAGTCCATAAATCTTTTTAAAATTTATAAAAATTGAACAACAACTGCAATATAATTTGCTTAAAAATACATCACAAGGACATTATTTTGCCAGATATTTAATTAAATTTTTTGTGACTGAATAAGTTCTATACTGTTATAACAGCAATGAAAGTCGCAGTTAGAGCTCTTGCGTACAAATGCATTATTCATATACAATAATTATAGTATAAAAGTAGTTGTTCATGGTGTATATCAGCAGAAGCTATTCATTGTCATTTTCAATGCTATTCTGTTTATGATTATTATTATAGATGTAGATTTTGTTGGAGGACTTTTAATCTAAACAAGCTCAAATTTATATGCCATATAGAGTAAACCTGAAAGTTGTCCCAGTCTGCTCTGTTAGGTTTGAATTTATCAAGTAACACTCGCTAGTCTTTCTCAGTCAAGCATTGATGGGCCACTAGCCTTATGGTACATTGCTCTCTATCAGTGAAATCAAATTCTTTGCTGTTAATAGAAGGCAGCTATCAAATGTGTAATTTTTCCCATGCATTATGTTTTCTTATATACAGAGAGAGACAAAAAGTAAGAAATTTAGAACCAGTTTCACAAAGACCCAAAAGAAGTGAAATTCAGTACCATTAAATTTAAAAAAAAAAAAATTGTGACACTATATATATAATAAATCAAAAAATCTGAATGAAAAAGAATAAAATTCCGTATTAAAAATTTTGAAGGTCCATCCTAATTTCTCTGGGTTACATTATAAACTGGTAAACCACAAATTAAAGAAAATTACAAAATTGGAATTAAAAAGTGTTCACTTCAAGGAGTAAAATTTAAAAAAAAGGGGGGGAATTTGTACACAACAAAACCAAATAAAATAAAAGTTTTAATCTCCTTTGTTTAACGCTTCAAACAGAACTTGTCAAGGGAAAAGTGTTTTGAAGCCTTAAAAAGTTGATTAATGATTGTCAAAAACGTTTCATTTCACTGAATTCCCTAAGACTCTAAACTGCTTAATTTTAATCCAACTTTCATATCAAGCAAAATTTATTTTAAAAGACTCATAAAATTCAGTTCTTTTCCTTACACACCTTTGCATTCATATAGTGTAAACATTATATACAATTGATATGTATATGTTAAACTAATGTAATAGCTGTAATGTAATGTTTAGTTTTATATTCAATAAATATGGATTAAATAATTATTTAATTAGTTATTTGTGGGGAAACAATTCAGATTTAATGTAAAACTCAGAAAGAAAATATTGTAAACTATAGAGTAACCTGTAATCTGCAATACCTTTCATCTCAAGATGCATAAATTATCAAAATTCTACTGCATATATAACTCTGCTTTTCTAAAAATATTTCTGGTTTGTCTTCTGTAGATATCAAACCTGCCAATGTATTTATTACTGCTGAGGGTGTTGTTAAGCTCGGTGACCTAGGACTAGGGAGATTTTTTAGTTCGAAGACAACTGCTGCCCACTCATTAGGTAAATACTCGTGTATATATATATATTAATTAAATATAATATATTATATATATATATACTTATTTATTAATATTATTGTTGTTTTCATTGTTTTAGAGTCAAATGTGTATTTGTAATTCTAGATAAAAGTAAATTGCATTCTGATTGGTAAGTGTGGTGGTTGTAATAATCACATAATCAATACAATTCTGCATTTTAAATATGTTTACTTTCTCAATGCTGAAACTGAATAATACCATTTTACCAAATAGATGTTAATATTGTATATTTTGCTATTTTCCCCCTTCCTAGTCATTGAATTTCTTAAAAGATTATCCTTATATTTTGCATAAAATTGTATTATTTAAATTAATTTGAAACAATTTTAATAGTCTTGCAGTTTCATAAAAGGTACTAAATTTTCTAGTTATGAAGTCAATGCTGATTATAATGATCACTCACTATATCAGCTGTATGTGATATCCATTTTAATTTGAAATATTTTTTTATTATTATATCCCTTTTCTTCAGAATGCATGATCTTGTTCTAACCCGTGTATATAGTGTGCGCTTTTCCTTTTTCTCTTGAATATAAATTTCTCACAAAATGTTTCCTCTGCAGCGCAATAAAGAAGTTGCTCATTAAAGGTAATGAAAGTAAATATTTACTTATGCTCTAAACACCGTAAACATGAAGACAATAGAAAAACCAGCATATTCTAATATTAGGGAGTGAATTTTCTAGTAAAAGGAATTTTCATCTTGATGGTGGAAAGGTAGTAAGATATTATCAGTTTGGTTGATATGAAACTTCATATGACACTTGCATCTTTTCGTAATAATTTATTTGATATTATTTCTGTTTATTTGAAAAAAGAAAAATTCTAGAAGAAAGTCTCGCACTGTAACTTATTTAATCATAAAAACATCACGAATTTAATTTAACATTTTAAATTAGAGAAAATATTAGTCTTTTTCCGGTTTAGTTTTGTACACCTGAAAAAATTAGATGTTTTGGCAAAGAATTCTTATTTCTTCGCTTAGAAAACTGACATTTACCACAGCTTCTCAGTTAGAATTGCCAACTTGAAATGTCCACAGTTAAACAATACGATGTAGAGTCATTAGGTTATCTTGAAGCAGGATAGATGAAAAATGAGCTTCACTGGGACTTGAACCACTGACCTCTTGAATATGCGCCGAGTGTGCTGATCACTACACCACAAAGGCATGCTAAGAAGGCAGGTGAAATACCTTATATACCTACCCTTTTAAAGGGGAATTGGGGATTAGGAGACCCTAGTCGCCAAATCCTGGTGGTGGAGAATCATCATCCACCACTTTTTTTACTTTGGGCACCACTATAGAGTCATTAGGTTATCTCAAAGCAGGAGAAATAAAAAATGAGCAATGCCTTCGCCGGGACTCAAACCATGGACCTCTCGAAATACACGCTCTGAGCATGCTGACCACTACACCATGAAGACATACTAAGACGGCGAGAGAAATACCTTATAGCCGCATTAATCCATGTTCTCTACCTTGTCAGAACTGGATCTGAAGTAAGTAGCAGCTTTGTGTCATGTATATGCTGTTAAATACGCTAAGGAGATTTAACCACTTGTGCTACGACTAAACTTCATGATTGTGGTGCCGTGCGCTACAATATAACAAGTGGTAAAGTGTCTCATTTACGCTGCTCCCCGTCTGCAAGTGCAATCCAGAGCTGTAACTCAAGAAATAGACAATCTTGTTGTTAGGCGACGTGTGCACCACGTAATTTTCATTTTTGTGCGCAGTTTGAGACAAAAGCATCTCGATGTGTGTGGCATGTCTTTTTAATGCAAGTGGTTAAAAAATGTGTTCTTAATTTTGATATTTAAAACAATTGGATCACATAAATATACAAAATAAAATGTAATACATGAGTAATGAGTCTCACATAATGCATTACGCATAAAGCATTTTCTGTGCTTCATCAGGACACACCATGGGTATTTCTGCCAAAAATTATGCCTGTTGAACGATAACATTGTGATGTTTCCAAGCAGTGTGTTTCCAGGTTTGTAGGATGTACGTGAGTGGGAAACAAATGCATTTGATAAACAGTTATCTTTCTCTTGCCTTTTTACTTCCTTGTAAGAAGTAAAAAGGAAGTATTGTAATCCAGAAAAATATCGGGTATGATATTTCAACGAAAATATCGATTTTGACTGTATCGAATGCAATTTAATGACGTTTTGCGTGACTTCTGCAAGTAAGGACAGAAAAGGACTCTTTTCCCCCAAAAGGATTATAAAACTGATTTTAAATGAATTCTGAAGAGAATTTTTCATGGTGCCTGTGCATACATACGTGCATATCTCGCATAACTCAAAAACGAGTAGCCTCAGAATGATGAAATTTTGTATGTAGGACTGTTCTAACATGTAGATGTGCACCTCGTATTTTGTTTGCAATCGGCCACAAAAAAATTTTATAAATATATGTATATATATATCCACTCTCTTTCTTGGCTCAGTGAGCTCAGTTTTTTTAATCATATATGTTTGTAAGTTGTGCATTTTTTGCTTTAAAAATGATTGAATTATATTGTTCTTATCTGGTTTTTATGCCTTTACTAAATCTGCATGCTGTATCTGTGGAGTTATCAACAATTTAAGAGTATTATAAGTGCAGCTAAGGCTAATAAATTTTGCGATGGCAGATATGTTTGTTTACATTTCAAACTTGGCCAAATAGTGGATTTGTTGCCAATCTAGAGAAACTAAGCTTCGCAACAACAGAGATAACGCCTTTTATGATTGCGAATTAAATCATGGTTAACCCATTAACCTCCAAAGGAATGATACAAGGAATGATTCTTTTGTCATGAAAATAATAACAAATATAAAATTAGGCATTTATAACATAAATTTACATTGAAAATACACTCATGTCCATAAATTAAGGATAATTCGGAGTTACACGGAAATCGAACTCTAAAATAAAAAGATCACCTGTAAAATCACTACACACATCTTCAAGAATCATATGCAAATTTCAGGAAGTAACCAGATGACACCGATGGTACGTCACAATGACAAGAGTGTAAGAGAGTGATATATAAGGAATACAGGCAAAGAAGTAAAATTGTTCACAGGTGCTTTATAAGCATTTCAGTGCAATGACTGAATAGTTATGACACAAAGGACGCATTTGGATGATTTTTTACGTGGTAAAATTATCAGCCATCTGGAATGTGGGCGTACCCAAATGGAAGTATCAGACGAACTTGGAATTGCCCAGAGTGTCATCTCCAGGCTTTGGCAACGATTCCAAGATGATGGTAATGTGAGTAGACGTTACAGCACAGGTCGCCCCAGAGTTACAATGCCGAATGAGGACCGGTATTTGGCAGTTACTGCCAAAAGAAACAGGCGGAGCAGAGAATCAGACCTGTCTCATCAGCTCTCCTCAGCCACTGGTACGACAATTTCAAGGCAGACCGTGTACAGACGCTTAGGGCAGATTGGTCTATATGCTCGTAGACCTGTCAGATGCATTCCACTTACTGCAACTCACTGTCGCCTGGAGTAGAGAGCATGCATTGTAGACCACCGCAACAGTGGGCTTGGTGTGATGTTTTTCCGACGAGTTCCAGGTTTAGCTTACAGTCTGATTCTCGCCGGACTTTCATATGGGAGAGCTCCAGGTACCCGTTACCACCAAGAAAACATCATTGAACGACACCGTAACGGTGGTGCAGGAGTGCTCGTTTGGGGTGGAATTATTCTGGGTTCCAGAACTGACCTGCATGTTCAAATTGGAACCATGACAAGCCAAATCTATCGGGACGTCATTCTGGAACAACATGTACATTTGTTTCGGGATGCCATGGGCGCACAATTTGTGTTTATGGATGACAACGCCCGTCCTCACCATGCAAACATCGTAAGTGAATGCCTTCAATCGGAGGATATTGCCGTATGGACTGGCCAGCATTCTCACCGGACTTGAATCCAGAAGAGCAGATGTGGGACATGCTTGGCTGAGGAGTTGCAGCCCGTTAACCTCCTCCTACATGTCTACCGGAACTTCGGAGAGCATTGCTTGAGTGGTGTAATATTCCCCCAAGATCAGATTGATAATTTGATACTCAGCATGCCTAGGTATTGTACGGACTGTATTGCATTGTCTGGGAGACATAAAATGTATTAACAATCATACCAACCATGCAATATTGGTTTTTTAAATAGGTTTTTTTTGAATTTGCTCCAGGGAGGGAGAAAAAAAAAAAAAAAACGCTATTTTTTTAATAATAAATATCAAACATATAGCATCTTTCTTTGCTCTTTACCTTTTGTTTAATAAATAAGCTTTACAAATAAGTCAAATTTGTTTTGCTTCTAACTCTTCTTTTGCCTGATTTTGCATTATCCTTAATTTATGGACATGAGTGTAAAAAAAAAAAATGCTCTTACCTGTGGAAAAAGCGAATGTTGCATTCTCGCAACGTCAGCGAAATAAGACTACGGATATTTAGTGTGTAGGATTGTACTTGTGTGATGTTTCCTTTGAGTGGAGCGCAGGATTAATTTTTAGCTGTATAATGTTTGATAACTCTACAAATCACTTTACTTATAATTTATTTAATATAAAAATATACATTATATTTCTTTTACAAATACAGTTTATTTCAATTTGAAATATTCAAGCATGAAAAGCTTCACTACAATCATGATGCAAAGTTAAATTACATACTTTGCATCTATAAACAGTCTGGCTATGGTACATCTTTACAACAAAATCTTTTGTTATCATCAAGACTTTACGATAAAATGTCTACCATCTCCATGCAATGGTTTTTGAATGCTGAATTAACTAGGTCCTTCTGTTGCTGATCATTTCTGGCTAATTCTACACTCTCAATAGGAGTTTGCAAAAGGAATAATGCAATCTCGCGTCTGAAATCTAAAAGAGACTGTATATTTCCAGTAGTAAAACTTGGTGATATTTAGTAAGTTTAGATACAATCTCACCTCATATAATTTATCAGTATTGTCAATGTGACTACTGTCAAATACAAATCCTGCTTCATATTCCTGTACTGCAAACGTGATATCGATTCTCGTACAATAGGAACAGAAATGTCCTTATCAAAAGACCAATACATTTTTTCTTGAGGTAAAGAATGATATCCCGTAAGCAATAATATCCCAATAAATCTTCTCACATAGGCTTCAAATGCAATAAATTCTGTGCAATTTTTTGCCGAGCGTATATATTTGTCTGTTCAACGAGAAGAGAGTAAATGTCTAAACCAAAAAGAAAAATCGAAAATCTGTGCACTAGTTTTACCCTGTATTTTGTCTTTTATAGTTTTTCTTCTATCTCTTTCTTCTTGTTCTTCCTGAGACATAACTGACAGTTCCTTTTTTTATCCACTTCAAGTTTTCAGTCTTCTGCTTTTTTAAATTTTTAGTATGACTACAACTGCTTTTAGAAGACTGAAACTTACTTCTTACGTGAATTTCAACTTCCCCAGTAGTATCATTTGGTAAAATATCATTATTATTATTTAAAACATTGTCATTCCTTTCTTCTTTATCACTAGCTTCTGGAATTTCTGGGGGAACAACAACAATATCAGTTTCATTCTGGTCATATTAACATTATCATCATCTGTTTCTTCATCAAAAAATCTTTGAAGAGCCTCTTTTAATGTAAGATACCTCATTCTAGGCATTTTTAAAGCAGCTAGAACATGAACCGGAACATCGAAAAGAATGAGTGAAAAAGGAGATTAATTATTTGTTTCCTGCTGACGTTGCGTCAGTGTAACACCTGTTTTCCCTTCCTTCCCAACACAAATATAAACATGTGATTCTGTAATGTTCTGATAAATGGTGACCTTGACTAAAAATAGATCACTCATAAACACGGCGATTCTTTCGTTAAATATTTTCAGCAAAAATACCCGGTCGAAAATTTTGCGTAAAGTATGAGATTAATTATTATAAACAAAATGATTGTTGAAGGCAAATATTTTTTACAGAAATAATCTTCATAATATTCCCTACACAAAATCATCTGCTGGTATAAAATATCTTAGGTAGTTATATTTATATACACATTTATTTGACCGTTGCATCTACGCAATACCAGCGGCTAATGGGTTAATGCATTCTGGCGTTTATTTGAGGAAATAAGTGTTTCAGATTTACTTTGTAATTTTTAATATAGATATTTTGAGTTTTTATGTATTTTTGCCTTGTCAGGAAGTGAGAACTGAAGGAATTGAATCAGGGTGTTGCATTTACGGTGGCCAGCAGTGTATCTGAATGGCCTAGAAAGAAATCTCTCAAATTATTCCAGCCTTTGTAAGCACTTTCAACACAGTGTCGCTTCTGACTCTGTTTGCCCCTTATGCAATTTGAAGGAAGACACGGACTTGTGACATCTTTGCAAATGCCCTGCCTTTCCTCATATTTCAATTTGAGAGCACTACTGGGTGCCGAGGAATGCCCTAAGTTTATAGCTATACTGATATCAATTTTCTTGCCTTTGGTTGGTCTTTTATTTAATATTTGGTTGTTTTAGGCAAAGTTAAGGTTTTAAGTAACATCACACAAAAGCAAAGTTTTGGTAGAATAGAAACTGAATTTTTTTGATGATTAAAGAAAAAAAAAAAAATTTTTTTTTTTGTTTCAAAATAGTTCACTTTCAGTTTAATAGTTCAAACTTAAAAGGAGGCATGTTTTTATGCATTCGACATAGTCAAAATTTTTATGTGCTAACAATGTTCATGTGTAACGTAATAAGTGAAATGTATTTTGAATGTCATAACCAATTCTTTTTCTTTCAGTTGGAACTCCTTATTATATGTCACCTGAGCGTATTCATGAGCATGGCTACAATTTTAAATCTGATATCTGGTCCCTAGGCTGTCTTTTATATGAGGTAGTATTAATTAATATAGTATTTATATTGAAGACATCCATATTTTTTATAATTCCTTTAATTACTTATTTGTTTACTTATATTTAAGATGGCAGCCCTTCAGTCTCCTTTTTATGGTGAAAAGATGAATCTATATGCATTGTGCAAAAAAATTGAAGAATGTGATTACCCTCCTATTCCTTCTGATATCTATTCTGAGCAGGTAAATCTACATTGTATAATTTAAGTCAATATTCAGAGTTGTTATGATTTGTTATTTGTTTACCTCATGACTTTAAATTTTAGGCTGTGTTCCAGGATATTGCCAGAGAAATGTGTGCATTAATTTTTATATAAAAATTAAAATATTCAATTGAGTATTTCTTAATTTAAATTAAAAAATAGGCCTGTTTTAAGCTAAGACTTATTATTAGATAAAAATGTTTTATAAATTTTAAAATACTAAGAGCTTCCATTAAGTTACTGAATTTGTCATATCCAGAATAACTAGCCATCTTTTTGTACCCTCTTTTTTTTAATGGTTTTCCATGGTATATTTGCTATATTGTATTCAGAGGAGGGAGTTTTCTTATAACATCTGGTTGTAACGAAATTTTTCCGTCAAAAAACATTCTTTCTGCTAACATTTTGGTAGATTTTCAAAGCCTTCAGTCCAGAAACTTGGTGGCCGCGACTCCAAAAACAGATCAACTTCATTTTAGACGTCCTCTGCAGAATGGAAGATAGTATAGCAGCAAGATGTGGCTGCAGGTGTGAAAAAAGGTAGAAGTCCAAAGGAGCGATATCAGGGCTATATAGTGGATGTGACAAAAGATCCCATTTGAGTGCATACAGAGTCCAGCCAGTGAATGCAGACACATGTGGTCTTGCATTATCTTGAAAAATTACCTTTTTGCACCAGAACTCAGTTCGATGTTTTTCCTTGATAGCAGCATCAGCATGGACTAGCATCTCGCTGTACACCTTATTGTCAAGGGTTCTACCTTTTTCCGGATGCTCTTTGTGAGTAATACCACAGCAATCCCACCAGTTAAAGCATGGTCTTTTTGTTAGTAAAACTGCATTTTGCGACGCTGCTGATGGGCTCACAGGGTGCAGAGTACTTTTTTGGCCTGTGTAATAAATGTTTGTTGTTATAATAAATCCACTTTTCATTACAAGTGATGATCTGGTCCAGAATTTTGTCTTTGTGTTGATATTTGAGCAGATTAGTGCAGGCCCGAACATGTCTGTCCTTACCTGCTTGGGTCAGCTCATACGGCACCCAGCGACCCCTCTGAACGTCATGTTTATGCAATGCATAGCTTGACTGACTAATGGGCATAGCAATAATGTCTTAACTCGTTAGCAAGCTCTTGAGTGGTTGCATGCTGTACTTCTTCCACAAGTTCTCTCATGTGTGTGCCTCATCAACATCAGTAAGCTGAACAGAGCACTCTGCTTCTTGAATGTTCCTTGTTTTTTAACTTTTGATGCCAAACCTTCACAGTGTCATATGATACGGCATTAGTACCTAAAGCTCTATACATGATTTTGATGACATTCTGTAGCTGACTTTTTGTAACAGAACTAGAAGTAACTCAATGGTCAAATGTCAAATGGAACACTCACACAGTTGAATACAATAACATGAACACTCTGAATATATCCAGTCTTGCATAAATATCTGCTATCACTTTTAATATCACTAATTATTAATGTTTTCATCATCAAATAAAAAAAAAAAAAAAAAAAAAAAAAAAAAAAAAAAAAAAAAGAAAGAAAGAAATTTTCTCAGAATTTGGTGAATTTGAAATAATACTATCATTTTATATATTAAAATAGGAACCATGTAAAAGCAATGATTGGCAAACTTCTTAGGAAGTGGGCCAGTATAACATATTCTAAAACTTTAAAAAGAATATACAGTTATTAATGTGATGAATGAAACTGCAACTTTTTTTGTTACTTTTCCATTTTGCCGGCGCAAACGATAAAGTCGCCAATAATGGTACAACTGATGCCAAATGGAATATCTTCGCTGGTAACCTTTTACGCTTCATTTTCAAAACAAGTCGCAGTCATTTCTTATCAGATTGATTGTTTTTTTACAATACTGGCATACAATTACATAGAATTTTTACAAGATAATTAAATTTTATGCCCTAAGACCATTCGCGGTAATTAAGTCAATTAGATGCAATCACACCGCTCACCGGAAGGCAAAAATATAGAAAAGGCAAAATCAAGGATTAAATTCATCAATTCTAATGAGAATGCACTAGCGAAGTAAAGCACTGCGGTTTTACATAATTTCTGAGTAAGCTATTCATACGAATTGAAATAATTCTTGCATTTAAACTTGTATTCCAAATTAAGATTTAACTTGAAATTAATGGAGATAATTACTGAGAGAATTAGATTTTTGTAGCTTAGTTTATGTGAGATGGGATCACTTGGGGTCACATTATTATAAGAACCCGCGAATCAGGATGTTGAACCATGAAAGCATAGTAAATTCTTAAATTATTGTCTTTTTATAAATTTATTGGCTTTTTACAAAATTTAAACCATATTAAAATGTTTATGCCTTCAATATAAAAATTCTTAGAACTAGCATTTTTTTATGTGTATACTGTATGCTGTCGTCAACAAAGTCTGCTTGGCGAGATTTGCGCCGGCGAAACAGAAAAGTACCGAAAATCTTTATAATACCCTTTTTCCTTGAATCCCTCTATACATTTTTTTGGCTTCTTTTCTTTAGTGCCTTAAGTATGTGCTTATATTGCTTAATAATTATAATTCATTAAAACAGGAATTATTAAGTGTAAGAAGAAATTTTGTAATTACAATTGATATGCACAGTAATTTTTTACTTGCATAAAATTCAACTGCAGTTGTTATTACGTTATTTTTATCTTTTCCTCCTAGATGAAGTGCTTAGTTGCAGATTGCATTAATCCTGATCCAGATAAAAGGCCAGATATTATATATGTGCATAATGTTGCAAAACGCATGCACAAAGAAATGTCTTTAGCAGCAGCTGCTTCTCCAACTGTAATGTAAAAGCTCTCTTAATCCATGTAATTTCTTATTGTTGCTTTTTGTGAAAATATAAAATGTATATCTATCAAATGATCAAAATGCTCAGTTTCACACACTGGATTTATAGTGTATGGAATTGGTCATTTGAACCCGAATCAGATACCTCTTGGTACATTGAAAAAATTATGGTATTGCAATTTACGAAAATTTCGTATGTGTAAATGTCAAAATGTGTTTCTAATATGAAAATTTATTTTGCAGTATTGGTTAAATGTTTAACATGATATGCATTTCTTATCAAATTTTACATTTAATATAATGTATTTGTATTTAAATGTAATTTTTGATTGCATTGTTTTGAGGGACCAAATACAGTAATTTAAAAAAATACTTAAATAATAAAAAAATGTGTTTATATATTTATAAATAAATATGTTGATAAAATAGTTAAAAAAAGGTTAATAGTTTAATATTGTCTGAAGAGGATTTTTAAGTAGCTTTATGGAAATAGTTTAAAGAATTCATATATTTTATAGAAAATAGCATGATATTAAATGCAATGATTTTGGTTTGCAGTCAGCTTAAATTAAGAAAAAGATGATATAGGTATAATCTTTTTTTTCCCCAAAAAAAGTGGAATGTCTTTTTTTAATTACTTTTTTGTAAAATATTTCATTAATATTGACATTATTATAAAATATTGTTTCGCAACATGGGTATATTGCCCGCCAATGGGTGCAGAGATTTTAGGGAACGTTATTGGTCTGAAGGACAGTAAGAAAGATAAGGAGAAGTAAGTAGACAATAAAAACACATTTGAAAAATTCGATAAATATCTGAATAAGTTTGAAACAACCATCTAAACATTTACTTGATTATACAGGTATTACAGCCATATGTGTTTTACAATAATCATATCAAAGATGTCAATCAACCTTTCACATAGTTTTGTCTAACTTGGGTGCATTTTTCTATCCAAAAAGAACAAAGTTATAAATTATCGATCTAATATTCTAAAATTATGACCACAAATCAGTACTTGAAAGTAGCATATTCTTCCAGTTTTAAATATTACCTTTGCAACACAGGAATTTGTGTTTGTTTTGTCAGATTTATTACTACAAATGATTTGAGAAGTCCCATATTGTGTGATGGGTTTTTATTAATAATTTGATGAAATGCAATATGTAACTAAAATTTTTCAGTGAGTGCCTACAAATTATGGTCAAAAGCCATCCAGTATGTGGTTACAAAATTAAAAGATGTTGTACAGACATAAAAGACACATTGAGGGGGGAAGATAAAAAAAGAAAAAATGGACTTAGAACGTAAAATAGTGAGTCGAAAAAAGTTAAGTAACTGTGTTATGAAAGATTAAAATTTGAATTTATCATATTTTCAGCATAAATGTTTGTTAGGATACATTTATAAATATTAATGAACTAAATACAAGAGAGATGCAAGTGCCTTGTATAATTTCCATCCAGGAAATCCAATCAGTATTAAATTATTATATTTTAAAGTAAATTCAAGCAAATGTTTGTTGTTAATAAGTAATTTATTGTAAATTGCTGCTAATAAATTTAAACAAAAATATACTTTTTTTTTTTTTTTTTTTTTTTTTTTTTTTTTTTTTTTTTTTAACTTTAAAAAGTTTTCTTACATTTCCTTCCAGTGGGGAAGTTAAATTATATTATTGGCCAAAACTTCTTTATAATTAATTTAGAAGTCAAACAACAAAAATAAGCATTATATTTTTGTTCAGCGTGTTATTGTATCTTTCTTTATAGTTGTTATATGTAATTATTAATTTAATGTTTTAATGTATGAAAACATTTTGTTTTGATACCTATCATCCAATAATCTGATTCCTTAAGTTAAACTTTACAAAATTTACATATGAATTTTTAATAATTGAAATTTTAAAAAAATATATCAGTTGCATGAATCTAATAGTTTTATAATGAGTTTATAAAAATAAATGAGATCTGTGTTTCTCATTTATTTAAAAAATAATAGAGAATTTTTATATTTTCAACTAAGAAACCTACATCTTTCCCCTCCCCAATCTCTATGAGAATTTATATTCAGTATTATAAAATTCTTGTGTTAACCTTGCCTTAGTAATATTTCTACTGCTAAAAGATGTTTTTATGTGTAATATGTATGTAAAAATGTGTTAAATGTTATGTGAATACTATTTCCTGTTTAATTTTATGAGTAGTTATATCTCATAATTCAGTGCTAAATTTTACATGCCATGCATAAAATATATGTATTTTCACATTATTTAAAAGTTCAATGATGAGTTCTAAGATTTTATGCCTTTTGCCATTTTAATTTTTATCACTACAATAGATTAAATTTGAGTTTTTAAAAACAGTACTAAAATTTCTATTAGCTTTTTGGGCCATGAAAATGAAAAATTGATTTGTCATTGCCGAAGAGGTTAGAAATAGTTTAATGTGGTCTTTACAAATGTAGTTTAAGCAAAAGTCTGACTTTTATCGTGGTGTATTTTCATTTCAAGTCAGTCCCCAAAATCTTACATTAGAATGCTTCAGTTCCTTGTAGATCTTTGTAGATCAATATGTAAAATTCAATGATGAATGCTTTTCTTCTTTTTGCTTTACATGATCAATACCTCTTTTAATTATTCATCTATATTTTGTCTATATTTGGACTGTTTTGAATTTTAAAAAATGTATAGCTTTTTTTCATTGAATTGTGTAAATAATTTCCTAAACATAAGAATATATTATGATACTATCAAATTAGAAAAAGTCTGTAACAAAAAATGGTAATTCATATTAATTTTCTTTGTTCTAGTTGATTTAATATGAATACTTGTCTTTTCAGTGTTTGTGTCACATGAGATTAGAAGAGTATCAATGTGAAATATACATATTTATACTTAAGTGTAGCTGTTTTTAATATGAAAGGTGATTGATAAGTATGGTCTCCAATTATGTTTTAATTACATGCAGTTTTTTCCCAATTTAATAAATTGTCACATTTTAAGCAACATTAATCAAATGAAAATTAGAATGCAAATGTGGTATTTTTGATGAAAATTGCACCATTGCATTTTTTATCATTATAATTATTTATACAAGTTATAATTAATAAATTTGTGTAATTATGGTGTTCATGCAATGTTAATTTTAAATGCATCAGCCAAATTTCACGCATCTAGTGCTAAGTATAGAGGTGAAATTTAATTGCTTGCACCCAATTTATACAGATCTTTAATGAGTTCCACATCGTTTTATGTGTTCTGAAACAGTGATATTTATTTGTTAAATTTTAGTTTGTTTTTGTACTAGTGCCAAATAAGTTATATTTTATTACTTGAAAATTCATTTTCGGTCATGCTACTAATAGCATTCCTTAGATGGAAAATATGGTTCAAATACCTTTTGTTATTAATGCAAGGCAGTTAAATGGGAATCTTTGTCATGCATAATTCCTTATGACAATAGTAGTTCGAATAGAACTTTGTTCATTGGGAATTATTTCTAGACCAGTTTTGTTATATCATTCTACATTCAGTTTGAATTATTTATTTTTAGTGCAATAATGCTTTTAGTCAAGTAGCTTACTTGAGTAAAGCTTAATTTTTTTTTTAAGTTTTTGCTAAAGCTACAAATTTTGTTTGTATATTTGTTTTAAAAGAAATTTATGTTTTAAAAAAGTATTTTGAATATTCTCAGTGTTCGTTACAATGTTTGAAATAAATAAATTGTTGCTGCATTGAAAGTCTTTGCTTTATTTTGGCATATAAATATTAACAGACAAAATAGTTTTTAAAAGTCTATGTTTTAACCTAGTTTTAAAATGAGACGTATTATTTTTATGTTGAAGCTTGATCTTGAAAAGTTTCTTTAATTTTACATTTCTTCCATTTTGAGAGCAACCATGAGAACCTTTCAAAGTTTATTTTGACGTGATATTCCTTTCTTCCCAATTTATTTTCCCTTCTGCATGTACATATTAAAAAATTTTCCATATTATTACGAAATGCCCAACTGCGGTAATATAGCTTTCGAAAAATGGGTTTGGAGTTGCCATATTTGGGCGACAAAATTGGCGATATGCCATAGATGGATGGAAAACATTCTAGAACGAATTCTTACCAGATTGGCCCAGAAAGTTCTCAAAAGTTATCCAAAAAGCTATATAAACCCTGCTTGTACGCGGAGTAGCAGTCTAGTGTCGAGTTGGTTGTCGAGTGTATTGACAGTGTGCATCGTTGAAGCTATCGAGTGTATAGTCGAGTGCATTGCGAGTTGTAGCATGGAGAGTCTCGAGAGTACATAGAGTTCCGAGAATGACCAAACTAAGTCAGGAGGTGTACTTTAGTACTTTGCTGTGAAGCCATCTGCACCATTATAGCCTGAGAGCCTGAAGGCTGTGTTGCTGATTGTTTCAGTGTGTTTTTCATCGTTTTCCAATGACTGTAAATGTGTTTTTTTAGCTGTCCTGAGTAATACTGGCTAATAAATTGTGTTTTCATTCTTTATCAAGTGTTGTCGTCAACCACTCCAAATTGGCATACAAACATAACAACTGTTGTCAGAAGTGGGATTTCCAAGTGGATGCTAGTGTCCCGCCTACAGGAAAAAGCCAAGGCAGAGAAAATAAAATTCACGGACTTCTTAACATCTGTAAAAGCTAGACTAGAAGAGTTGAAAGCTGGGTATGAAGGCTGAGATCAAAACCGTATATGACGAGATAAAAGCTGGATATGGAGCAAATCCACATATGATAAGATAAAAGTCTGACTGGAAGAGACAAAAGCTGGACAAGAAGAAATAAAAGCCGGCCAGGAAAAGCTGCAAGAGCAACTCCAACAGATGAAAGTGGAGCATACACAAGGAACTGGAGCCATAAAAGAAGTTGTGGAAATGACAGATCTGCAGAATCAAAGGATGAAGGAAGTAGCTGGTGAAGTGTCTGAGAAGGATCAAGAAATGATGGGTGGAGCATCTAACGGGATTAAAGAAAGAGAACAAAAATATGAAGAAATAAAAGACCGGAAAGAAGCATTTGATTCTCAAGTGCTTGAATAGAAGTGGAAGAAAGTGAAAATACGACTGTTAAGTTCGTAGAAACTGATAGTGAAGTTACGAAGTTGCAGTTAGCAAGTATTGAACCATCTGAAAGTTCATGTGATGCAGAGATGGGAGAAATTGATGTACAGCTTAAGCAGAGTGTTCCAGTATTGCAACAAAATACAACCACTTCTCAAACTAAGTAAACTCATAACTCTGATGCAAACATTGGAACTGGCTTTCAGGAAATAGAGGTAAATAAGCATGTACCAACTGTTAAAAGTACCAAGGTGAACTGTACACGTGATGCGAATAAACTTCAGAGTGGTGAGCAAACTGTTTCAAGACCTTCCTGTGGATGAAAAATCTGAAAGGACTGAATCTTCAGACTGTGATATGCAAAACAGAAATGCATCTGAAAACTGCAATGAAAAAAATGTTTAACCTGGGTATAACTTAATGAAAAACCTGAGACTGAAATCCATTCTGGTCTTTAATTTATGAAATTTAAAATCTTTATGTGATTAGTTTATGTGTATAAGTTTTAAATAGTCTAAATATCTGTTTCTTTATTTATGGTATTTATTTGTTTTATTGTCATTTGTCTGTATCGAATGTGTCTTCTGACCAAGGATTGTACTGCCTGGGACGTGCAATCCTTGAGAGGGGGTAGTGTTATGAAATGCCCAGCCATGTTAAGATAATTACCCCGCAAAGTAGGTTTAGGATTGCCAGAAAATGGCAATGGAAGGTAGAGTTGCCATATTTGGTCCAGAATCGTACATTTGGCGACATAATTGGCAATATGCCATAGATGGATGGAGAACATTCTAGAATGAATTCTTACCAGCTTGGCCCAGAACCTTCTCAAAGGCAGGCCAAAAGCTATATTAAACCTGCCTGTACACGGAGTAGCAGGCTAGTGTCAAGTTGTTTGTTGAGTGTATCGTGAGTTGGTGCATCGAGAGTGTGTATTGTTGAGGCTATCAAGTGTGAGTGCATCGCAAGTTGTAGCATGGAGTGTCCCGAGAGTGTGTTGAGTTCCGAGAATGGCCAAACTGAGTCGGGAGCTGTGCCCTAGTGCTTTGCTATGAAGCTGTCTTAACCATTATAGCCTGTTAGTCTGAAGGCTATTGTTGCTGATTGTTTCAGCCTGTTTGTCATAGTTTTTCGACAACTGTAAATGTGTTTCTAGAGCTGTCCTGAGTAATACTGGCTAATAAATTGTGTTTTCATTCTTTATCAAATTAATCATTAAGTGTTGTTGTCAATCACTTTGAATCCGCTAACCCATACAAAAGTAGCAATACCATGATCTGACTGTAGAGAAAAGACCATGAAAATGTTAAGAAATTATCTTTGTATATATAAGCAGCCATAACCTTAAATATGGGAATCTTACTACTGCTGTGACTGGCTAATTCCTTCTACACAGATGTTTGACTTGTGGTTAGTTGAGAGCTTTGGTAAAAAATAACTGATTCGTATAAATAAGGCAAAGCAAACATTATTTATTATAAAGCATATCTTGATTTTGCCTTAGTTAAACTACTATTGAATTATAGTTTTGATTTT